AGACCCTGCTTTCAATTCTTTTGGTTATATACCTCTAAGTGGAGCTGACCCAGCAGAATCATATGGTAATTGTATTTTTAATTTTTTGAGGACTCAACATTCTGATTTCCATAGTAGCTGTACTGTTTTACATTGCATCAACAGTGCACAAAGATTACAGTTTCTCCACATTCTCATCAACACTTATTTTCTGTTGTTTTGATATTAGTCGTCCTAATGGTTATGAGGTGATCTCATTATAGTTTTAATTTGCATTTCCCTAAAGATTAGTGATGTTGAAATCCTTTCATGTGCATATTGGCCATTTGTATATTTTCTTTGGAGAAATGTCTGTTCAAGTCCTTTGCCCATTTTTAATTCAGGTTGTTTGGATTTTTGTTGTGGTTGAGTTTTTTTTTTCTTTTTTTTTTTTTAATTTTATTTATTTATTTGACCGAGGGAGAGAAAGAGCAGGAGCACAAGCAGGGGGAGTGGGAGAGGGAGAAGCAGGCTTCCCGCCGAGCAGGGAGTCCAATGTGGGACTCAATCCCAGGACCCTGGGATCATGACCTGAGCCAAAGGCAGATGCTTAACGACTGAGCCACCTAGGTGCCCTGTTGTGGTTGAGTTTTAGGGAGAAGATAAGGTTCGATACCTTCTAAGGTAGAGGGTAAGGGGCCAAATTGAGGAAAATATAGACGACTGTTTTAAGTAGTTTGCTGTTACTGTCTAGACTAGAGACCATATATTTTTTAAAAAGATTTATTTGAGAGAGAGGAAGAGAGCAGGGGGGAGGGGCAGAGGGAGAGGGAGAAGCAGAGCTCCCCGCTGAGCAGGGAGCCTGATGTGGGACTTCATCCCAGGACCCTGGGATCATGACCTGAGCCGAAGGCAGATGCTTAACTGACTGAACCACCCAGGTGCCCTAGACCAGAGATGTTTAATAGAACTTTCTGTGATGATGGAAATGTTTTGTATCTGCAAGCCATTAGCCATATGTGGCTGTTGAGTACTTAACATGTGTCTAGTGCAACTGGAAAATCAAGTTTTTAGTTTCATTTAACTTTAATCAATTTGAATTTAAATAGCCATGTGTGGCTTAAGGCTACCACTATTTTTGATAGGGTAATCAGGAGGTCATCAGAAGTTGTATTTCTTATTTCTTTTGTTTTTGAACTAGGGGAATGATGTGTGTTTTAGGGGAAAAAAAACTGGGAAAAATGTGGGCATTTGAATGGTGAGGAAGAAATAAGAATAGAAAATCACTTTATTTTTTTGCCTTTAATGAGAATGGGGAACATAGGAGGATGAGCTGGTTTGGGAAGGTAGACACTGAGCTCAGTACTGCAGAAATTGACTTGAGATTGTGGGACATAGAGACAGAGATGTCCAGTGGGCAGTTGTAAATAAGAGTTTAGAGCAGAGCAGAACAGAGAAGACTAGGGCTAGAAGTATAAATTTTCATAGTCATTTATATAGTGGTGATAAAGCCATAGAAATAGATAATACCCTTCAAAGAGGGAATATAAATCTTGAATAAATGAGCATCAAGGATAGATCCTTGAAAAATGTCTGTATTTAAAGGTGGGAAAAAGAAGAGGAGCAGGTGAAGGTGAAGTTACTTTTTACTCCATGATATATTTAAGAAACTATCACTTATCCATGCAAGTTGTAGCAGGAACCCTTTGCTTTAGATGTAGTTCTCATCAGGATGATTAGACATTTTATTTCAAAATGTAAGTATGGGAAACTAGCATAGGTAATTTCCATTCCCTCACAACATGGATCTGGCACATACTTTAATAGGAATGGGCAAATAACAACTATGGTTGTGCTATCATAATATCACTTCTGCCTATAGAATCAGAAAGGTACCTGTAAAATGTGGTTAATACTTGGTCAGGTTACCAATAAGCACAGCAAACTCCAGTCTGAATAAATTAGCTTATAAACCTGGGGGAATGAATGCCTAGCCCCCCTTGGTGTTTTTCTAGATAACCAGTAGTTGTAAATAATATGATGGTTAAGTGGATTTTCTAAGTAAGATTAAGGAGAAATTGTTTGAGAGGACATACACAAGATATATTTTGTTACACTAGTAAGAAGTCTCATAAATCCCCCAAAGTGTGTAATACAGTTGTAAAGGAACACAGAAACTAGTGAGTGAAGAATTTGGAAATGGAGAAGGAGCACTGGCAAGGAAGGCAAACATGGAGAAGGAAACATGGAAGAATAAGGGTAGGCTTAAGGTGAGATCTATGGGGTAGACAGTAGGGAGCAGGTCAGTTTGCTCCCTAGCTCAGTGCCTGATACATTAGAAGTGCTCCAAAGTATTTGTTGAAGAAAGAATGAATGATGGTTAGGGAGAAGAAAAATCGCTCCTGTAGGAACCATTCCTGATGAAATCTTGCTTTGGCCCCACCTTATCTTGAACCCATTTCTTGACCTCAGTCATCACATGTCTTCCTGACCTTGGGTTGCTGTTAGATTTTTTGTTAGAACACATTTTGAATGTGTGAATATTCCAGATAGTGTATATTTGAACTTTTAATCATTGTCCAGCTCTGGTGGTGGGACAGGGGGAGGGAGTGATACTCTGCTATTTATAAGTATTATGAGTGTATCTGAGTACTGACAAGTTTAATTTCCTTTTGTTTTAAGACTGTACTAGAGGGGCACCTGGGTGGCTCAATCGGTTAAGCGTCTGCCTTTAGCTCAGGTCATGATCCCAGGATGCTGGGATCAAGCCCCATGTCAGGCTCCGGGCTGAGCGGGGAGCCTGCTTCTCTCTCTGCCACTCCCCCTGCTTGTGTTCCTGTGCTCTCTCTCTCGCTGTCAAAAAAAAAAAAAAAAAAAAAGACTATACTGGAATAGGTGTGACCATATCTATCTAGCCCCTGAATATTCTGGCCTTGGGTGACATGTGCAAGCACTTCTGGCTGATTTGACAGAGGTGTGCACTTATTTTCTGTGTGTGATTTATGGTAGGGCGACCAAGAATGATGAGAAGCAGGGAAATTTAAAGTTATTTCCACATATACAAAACTGATGGGATGCCATGTAATTTCCAAAATTCTTTTTTTATTCAAACTCCTCTGAAATCTGAGAGTCCACAAAAACTTAGTGTATGGAATTTTATTTTATTTTTTTTAAAGATTTTATTTATTTATTTGACAGACAGTGAGAGAGGGAACGCAAGCAGGGGGAGTGGGAGGTAGAAGCCAAGCAGGGAGTCTGAAGCGGGGCTCGATCCCAGGACCCTGGGATCATGACCTGAGCTGAACGCACATGCTTAACAATTGAGCCACCCAGGCACCCCAGTGTATGGAATTTTAACCAAATGTAGTGACCTCACATCTGATAGTGAAAACAGATTTTAGAATCTGAAAAGATATGGGGCCATATAGGTTGTTTTTTCAATTTTAAGCTATTATATAATTGTAACCCAAGTTAACACCCTTAGGCATGTAAGTAATAGGTGATACATAGTCTGTTTGCAAAGAAAAGTTTGACTAAGAAAAAGCTCTCTTTGATCTGTTTCACTCACATATACCTATCTGAATGTCTAATAGGCACTGAAGATACAACACTGAAGAAAGTACAAAATCTTTTCCCTCCTGAAGCTGTTGTCAAGACATACTTTCAGAGGGAACTATTTCAGATTAGGTGGTAACTAATCAAAAAAGGAAAGAGATATCTTAGTCTATCTAGGAGAGTTTTACGTTCAGGGAACTGAAATATAAACAAATAAGCTCACTGAAAACAAGGATTTTTGTTTGGCTTTTGTCTGTTGTGTTTACTGCTATATCCTTAGAGCCCCAAATAGTGCTTGGCTCATAATAGGCATTCAGTAAATATATGTCATTGATCGAAGTGTTTATTGTTTTGAATTTGTATAATCATACACATGTACTTTAGTAAATTATCTTTACATCTAGCTAGTTGAAAATTTTATCTCAGTTACCTTATTTTTATGTTTGTTACCTACTTTTAGTTTCTCCTTGTACCCACATATCAGGATGCAGGAAAAGCTTATTAATATTAATAATTAGTCATATGGTGATCTGATATTACAAAAGATAGATTTGGAAAGGAACTTCAGAGGTCATCTTTTGTTTAGCTTCCTGCCTAGGAAAAACTAAGATGATTAGGTATGTATTTTTAATTAATCATTTAAAAAACTAGGACAACATAATGAGGTTCTCTTGAGAAAATGGAGAAAGGTGCTTAACCCTAGATAAAAAGATACTAACCTGAAAAATTTAGAACTTCTAACCGTGTGGGAAAGTGAAAAAAAATCGAGACCAACTAAGCTGTTCTTTGTTGATATCAGAAATAGGCCTGTCATTCATTTTGGCATTGAAACATAGCCTCCTATCTCAGGGGGCAGGACCAGGACTTTTTTTTTTCCTCCCAGAGGAGCTAGACAGTTATTACAGGTTGAAAAACCCTGGCCAGTTTTTCAAGAGTTTCTCCTCCTTTTTATTTTATTTTTTTTTTATTTTTGTTTTTCTTTTCCTTTTTTTTTCTCCCCCCTGTAACTTATGGTGCTTTTGCTCTGCTTTCAAGATGCATTAAGGTCTCCTGCTTTGTGACTGCTTTGGAGCCAGCAAATACCCTGACATGTACAATTCGAATTATGCAGATTTCATGAATAAGTTTAATCTTATTTTTTAGCTAGTTAAAATTCAAGTGATATTTAGAAAAGTGTTAGCTTGGAGTTAGCCATTTTATCATTTTACTGCTTTTATTTTAAGCATATTTTTAAAACAACCTTTAATAAGAAAATAAGATTCTACACATTAAAAAGCCCCTCTCTTAAGACTTACACTTCCAGTTTCTTTTGAATAATCTTTGTTGCATTAGACAGTATTCATATGTCCTTTGAAAGCCAGTTACCTAAACAGTTTTCTTGAGCATCTTTTTAGTTTTATTGAGAAGTATTTTAAATTGAGCTTTTCTGAGCTCGATTGCTTATGTCTGACACAGTCTCAAGTTTCCACTGAATGGTAACAAAGACTGTAGAGTGTTGTTGGTACTGCAGTGAGAGGCATGCTTCTTTAGACCAGGTAAGAGAGATCATTTTGTTTCTTACTGCTGGGTGAGTTTTTACCAGGTTTATTTTATATTCTTCCAGCAGCAGCAATATTAAGTTGATAAATAGCCAAGAGCACGCTGAATTCAAGACGTCCTTGCTTGTTGCAGACAGGAAAACTACAGGGTATGGGGGTTGGGTTGGGCAGGGGGGGAGGGGTAGAGTAAGCTTAGTTTATCACTCAGTTACTTATATAAATCAATTAAAATGTGAAAATAATTCTAGAGCTCAGTTTTCCTCATCCAAGAACTAGGAAAGCAGTTGAGGAAATGAATAATTTTGAAGGTACTTCATAGTTACTACTTGTGAATGCAATTCAAATGATAGTTTTTACTTTCATTTCTTTCCAGTAGTTAATAAAATAAGGTTTGCCCTTAACTGTACATTTTTTTTATTTATGAAAACTTTTAAATTGTCAACAGCAAAATATGCTTCCTCAGGATCTTTGAAATAAACCTGACAGTTAAAAAAATATTTTAGCTTTTATAGCTGTTTCATTCCTTTTTTTCTTAGTACATTTTTCTTAAAAGTATTTGTGCTTTGAAAATGTCAGCTGTATTCTAATGAAGCTCAGGCATTGTTTGCTCATAAAGGGGCCGGTGCATTCCACTGCTTTATGGTTTATTATGAGGCACAGTGTGAGAGTGTGGGTGGCACCATTTGGTGTCTGCCTCTTGGGGTAGTGACTGCCATTATGTTAGTGTTGGATTGGCAAAGAAAATATAGCATGCAAGATCCTATATGAATCAGGAACTTATGAAGAAAATCTTAACCCTAAATAATACTAAGTGAGCCAGGAATGTGTGACAACTTGATTGAGTTGATCACTTCAAGTATACTCTAGAAAGTCTGTCTTTCAGTTACAATTAATATTCTACAAGAGTACCTATCTCTTGTTTTTTGATGTATATAACATTTACTCATTATTTGAATCTTAATAAGGAAGTGAATGTTTCTAGATAAATTATGACATTTTAAGTAGATACAGTAACCTTTTAAATAATACATTTACTTAAAAAAAGAGTTTTACGGAACTTAGTGTGGGTGGGGAGGGGGAGTGAGAGAGGAGGTCAGGCAGAGAGCCTTTCTTTCAGTTAGGAAAGCCCTGATGAAGAAAAAAGCAACAGATGTTTCTTCTGTTACAATTGAGGTTGTTTTATTCAAAATTCACAGTAGCTGGAATGGGGAGGGGAGGTCATAAATCTGACTTAATCAGGGAATAAATAAAACTTAGTCATTTAAAATTTTTTCCTTTATACTTAGATTTTGAGAATCAGTAGAGTAACATACCTTTTGGAGAGGCTTTTTTTAATCTTAAAAAATTAATGTGTAATTAATGGAAATGTGAGAAAGTTAATTTTAGTGCATGTAAGTAATGGAAAAAATGATCATTAAATCCTACAGAATATTTGGAAAAAAGCCTAGCCATTATAAAATATATAAGAATACTTAGGTTGCAAAAGTTTGTAATTGCACAATAGGTACTAAGCCTCAAAATGAAATTTCATTATGAAACATTATTTGCATATAGTGTGAGAGATCCTTTTATCTTCAGTGAGAAGCATAAGACTTATTCCAAAAAGATCTTTGAATAAGAAATGTGAGAGAAATATTTTGAGTTTAATTGAAATGAACCTCTAAAAAGAAAGATAGTAAGCTTGGATTGGCTGCTAATGGACAGAGAAGAATGTTTATTTGCTGAAAAAAGTAGCAAAGGAAGAGCTTGGAAACAATACACATGTAATGAAAGCAGTCAAAATTTTTAAAAAAATAGTTTTTGAATTTGTGGAATTCATAACGAGTAAAAACCTTTCATTTTACAAGTAACAAAGAGAAGTTCTATGCTGTTGTATAGTGTGCATTTATACACATTACAACTTTATGCATTTCTTTAAAGTTCGCTCTTGAAAAACCAGTGCTGAGCACCAGATCTTTCACATATAAGGCACATAGTAAAAATTCGCCATACCCTGCACTGTAAAATTAGTAAGAATAGATAACAGCCAAAAAAATTCCGTAAACCATAGTACAAAATTTGTGTAAGGAGCAAATATTAAATGGTTTTCTAAATGTTTAATTGGTCTAAAGAGAAGACAGGAAAAGATACCAACATTCAAGGAGATTATTAAAAATTTCTCTTGCTCTTAACTGGGATCTGTGGGCTACCCTGAAAATTCTCTTTGCTTCACATAATGACAGAATTTAGAGATTTTGAAGCTTTTCAGATCATTGTTTTAATTAAGATTACAGTAAGATTCTAAAATTGATCTTCATACATTTTGTTTTTTTAAGGAATAGCAATAGGTAGCAGTTGAGGGTTTTTTTCTTTCTAAGATAAGTAAAATAACTCACATGGAGTTTAAAATGGATTTATAGGGGCGCCTGTGTGGCTCAGTCAGTTAAGCATCCGACTCTTGCTTTTGGCTCAGGTCATGATCTCCGGGTTGTGAGATGGAGCCCTGCATCGGGCATAGAGCCTGCTTAAGATTCTCTGTCTCCTTCTCCCCTACTCCCTTCAAAGAAAATGGATTTACAAACTATAGGTCTGACTAAAGTAAAATTTTTTACGATTTTGATCAAAGTATATAGAGAAATAGCCCTAAAATAAATTGATGGCCCCACATGTGATATATAACTATGACAAAATCCTAGATTGTAGTTATCAAAAATGTGTGTCACGAATATAAATGTAGACATGACAGGGTTATCTAATAGCATCAGCAACAGCAATACAGAAATCTTTGAGACTGTTAACCCTTCAAATTAAGAGTAGTATACTGAAAGACGTTTGGAGTGGGGTACCTAGAGTTCTCACCTTGTATATATGAACTCTTTAGCACAAAACTGAGGTCTGTGGGAATCTGAGCCTTACCTATTGATTGTTTTCCAAGTTAGAATACCCAGAGAGTGACTAATGTAGACATTCTCTCTGCCTCATATATATGTGTGCGACTAGAAACAACAGCAACCTAAAAATCTCATTTCGGAGGTGGAGGTCAGAGGGAAGATTTGCCTGATGCCTTTATTTTTCTGAAAAGAAAGCCTTTTACATTGTTGTTTAGGAGCAGATAAAATAGTATGAATATTGTGCTTTAACTGCAGTATGAGTTAACTCTTGCGAAAAGATCCAGGAACCTATTGTGTAATAACAGCATTACTTTCTACCAAGTTTGAAGCAACCAATTTGTAAATGAACTTTTGGATCTTGACTCTAAAGCTGGAGACCATCAGTAGGGGGCTTGGTTTTTGGCACTTTGCTCATTTATGGTACAAAGTTTGTCACTGTCTTGGCAATTTCTCTGACAGAAAAATGAAGAGACTGCTAACTGACTACTTATGGTGTGTCAAGTAGACCCGGGGAACTTAAGTGTAAGAGTTTGCAGAATCTTTTTTTTTTTTTGAAAAATCTTTTAATGGGTAAGATTTTAATTAAAAGATTTTTGTTGATATTGATATCTAAGATTTCTTGCTCTTTAAAATATGATTTAGATGTAGCTTCAATAATAGCTCTCAAATGGAACATATTGTTGGAAAAGAATATTCATCATTGCAATTTTGAGTATGGTATTATGGAATTCAATGATTCCATTTTCTAATTTGCTAGGGAAAAGAACTGCTTTGAAACTATAATTCATGGGTGGTCTTTGGTCTTTCTGAGTTTAAGTGTCCTAAAGTTTTAAATTTATTTTAAGAATGCAATTATTAAATTGTAGGTCTGTCTGCAGTCATTGCCATCTTTTATAAGTATTAGAAAAATATCTCACCTGACTGTAAATTTTTTTTTAAAGATTTTATTTATTTATTTGAAAGAGAGAGAGTGTGCACACATGAGAGAGCACAGGCAGGGGGAGCAGCAAAGGGAGAGGGAGAAGCAGGCTCCTGGCTGAGCAGAGAGTCTGATGCAGGGCTTGATGCCAGGACCCTGGGATCATGACCTGAACCGAAGGCAGACACTTAACCAACTGAGCCACCCAGGTGCCCCTTCACTATAAATTTTAAATGATTTATTTGTTAACACATTCTGGGGCAGGTTACCATCTTAGAGGGGTTGTGGGCTTCTTCATGAGGATGATTTCCAATTAAGTGCACTTGGGTATTCTGATACTCATAAATTCTGATCCTTGTGGTTGCGCCCAGCTGCCTTGATCTACTCCAGCCATTCAGTGGCTGTTGGCACGAGATAAAATGTGCTCCCTTCCGCTCGCCCTCTTACTAGGAATGAACATGGTGTCTGTGTGCCATCTGGTGGGTGTATTGGCTGTGGTGATGGTGCTGAAAGTAGGGGCTGAATGTAGGCTCAACACTGAAAAGATAATAGCATGTAAAAACAAGAGACTGAAGAAATAAAGGTCACTCAGCCCATTATTCTTTTTTAAAAATTTGGAAAGAGGTAAGTGTAATGGCATCTACTTACACTCCATTACTTCCTTAACTTGAACAAAGAGAAAAAGGGACCTTGAAGCAGTCTTTCCCAGTCTTGACTGATCATAAGAATCATCTGAGGCACTTGTTAAAAAGAGGCATTCCCACCTAGTTTTTGAGGCTGTGGATGTTGAGTGGAGCCTAGGAATGTGCATTTTGAATAAGAGGGACACTACTTCCCCACCCCACCCCCCACCCCCTTTACATCTTAGGACCAGGCACATTTGGGAAGAATTGCTATGAAGGATTGGAAGAGCCACGTTGTCTGAGGCCATATGGTAAAATAATTCAAGTATTAATCAGAAGATACATTGTCCAAAAAATGGGAAATTCTAATTAAGCAGGTAGAAGAGAAATGAGAAAGTTAAGATTTAAAGGTTTCCTTTACTAAGCAAGATAATAGAAAGAGGACAAAATGACATGTTTTAACTAAAGATAAAGAAGCCAGTGAAAGAGCAATAGAATCAAACCTGTAGGTGAGACATATTTTTGGACAGATGTTTTAAAAATATTGAAAGGAAAAGATCCTATAAAGAAAACCTATTGAGAATG